TAGAACTCATACCACATCTTATATCTATCTCAGTTGGGCTCGAATCAAAACAGTTGGGAGGCCATATAAAAAACGATGTTAAAAAGCATTTCATCTTTAATAGGTTGTCATAACTAAAGTTTGTTTTATTTATAACTTAAACATATATTTGACATTTATTTGAATTTGAAGGTTTTTTTAACATCATCTGCCAGGTCCGTAGTTGGTATTTCTTTCATATTTATTATTTATTCGAAACAATGATAAAGGTTCAATTTCACTTAATTGTTTGAACGCAATTTGTTTGTTCTAAAGTTTCAAGCAGTCATTAACAAATATCCTGTTTGGTTTTTTGTTTGTTTTTTGTTGCTGTTGTTTTTTTTTTCATGCTCAACCTGTATTGAATCATTCGTTTTAATTTGTTAAAATTCTTATTTCACTCGAATCAAAATGAAAAATGGGGAACAAAAAAGAATGCGTAATACTGATCATGTTGATATTCACATTTTATCTGTTGTCAATTGCAATGTAAAATAAAAAGTCCTCTTTTTATTTATTTGTTTTTCATACAAAGTAAATCATTGCAGTATTCAATGCAAGAAATGTTATCCGATATCAATTAATGGAGCTAAATTTCCAATTTTAAAGATGCTCTGCTGTGATCTCTCACAAACAGCGTGTGTGCTAAGCAAGTTGATTCTCTAATTAATAATCTTAAAAATCTCCAAATATTTCTTTCCAACAAGCAAACAATAGATTTATGTTGCATATCAGAACAGAATAATTATTTTAAATCATCAACAGCCTTGATTTAAAATATATGTGATAATTTAATTACCGTAAATGGGATAGAGGGTTATCATTTTGATAATGTTAATCATCCTAGTAATAAAAAAAGGCAAGATACCTTGGATTGAACACCTATCCTTGACTTAACAAAGCTGATCTAATGAATGGTTGGAATTTCAAATTAATTAAAATTATTTAAATGTATAATGTGTAATAAGAAACAATGTAATCTTATTTTTTTCATCATTACTGTTACTTTTGGTTTAGTAGAGCCTCCTCCGGTGTTCTTTGGTAGATAGTTGTCTTTCTTGACAATCGTATCTCACCTGCTTATATCGTTATCCATTTCATTTTTTATATTAATATAATTAGATTAAAAAACAATCTGAAAACATTATCAACTCCAGAAAATTACCCTTTTCCAGATGAAAACTTACTTTTGAAATTATATTATATGTATGAAATATTACACAAAATTTCAAAACTGGGAAATTTTCTTAAATTGTTGTGTTAAAGGGAATTTTACATATACAGAAACGTTATTTAATTTAAACATGTTAAACAAGTGTTATAAAAAATACCAAGGTAATTTCAAAAAGGGGGAAATGTATAATCCTGACTAAATTAAACACCCAACTATATCAACCAACGGAACCCTGTCGTATTCCTGATTTGGTTTAAGCATTAAAAGACAATTTTTTAATCAATCAATCTTTAAAAAACTATACAATTGCTTGATGATGTTATGTTTTTCTATTCTTTCAACATATATATTTGTATTTGTCTGGAATAAATTATATGCTGTTCAGAAAGTTATTTGAGTTGTACTTTAACATGCTTAAGATTGCTAAGATATATCTTCAGAATATGTGGTCATGGTTATTTATAACCATGTGCAAAACAACGAATACATCATTGTTTGAAAATTCACCCGAAAGGTTTTGATTTTGTTCTAATTATAAGGCTAAAGAGTGCTGGGTTTTCGAGAAAGAAAATTTGAAAACAACTTAAAGGTTTATTTAATTTATATAATTTTCCTTCATCGTCACGTAAGAAGTGTTTAAGTCTTCTACGATGAAAAGCACAGTGAGTATTAACTTATTTGCCAATAGCCAGCATGATATAAATGAAAACCGTGTTTGTTGGATAATACAAAACTTACTTTGAAGTGATCATTTTGCTAAAATAAGGAAATACATAACTTTAAAACAGTCATCTTTGTTATTACGTTATGAAGTAGGAAGAACAACAATTTTGATTTTGTTTAATTGTATTTGAATTGGGACATTTTGAAATTACATTTGCTTTTATTCTTATTTAATTTGTAATTCTATTATTATCTTTCAAGACTGAACCACACTTTCATAAACAGTAGAATTTCTCCTAAATGTTTATATAGTTCTTATGGTTCTCAAATACGGTCTGAAAATACAAAAACAAATAGAATTAGAATACAGTTTTAGTATTAAAGGACTATTCTCTAACTATTATTTTATGAATCGATGCCTCGAAGGTTTAATGTTGAAGTTCTTAACAAATGTGTTTCCAATTCCAGTGTTTTTAATCTGTATAGGTTTCAGTCTGATTAAGCAAGGGATATTAATGTTTTCATCAGAAAACAATTTGTTTCGGACATTAGAACAGAGGGACGGACGGATAAACGGACGAATGTAAAGACGACAGAGCGGACGAACGGACGAACAAAGCGATTACTCTATGATCCTTTAACTTTTTCCGAGACATAAAAAGAATGTTAGAAGACCATTGCTAAAACAAAGCAAGACCAACATACAAACAAGAGCTAACAAAGGCCTACATTTAAATCAGAAGATTGAGCAACATGTCTTTGGTCATCAGTGACAATGACATTTCTAAACAGTCACGCAAACCATGAACGAGTCCATAAAACTTTCTCTATGTCATTATCCATGTTAACAACGTTTTAAGACCAATAAGTGTCGTGTCAACTGGAAAAAAAATACTCCATAGGACGATGCTGATGAAATGATGCTTCATAGTAATGGGCACTTCATAATGGAAAAAATTAAAATCATGTATTCTCTCAAAAAGATTATTTCTCTATGAATAAAGATATGAAACAGACATAACTACATGTATATCAATATTTGATATCCTTATTTCAAATTACTTGTGATAGAATGACAGTTATCAAACGTGAATTCTTCAGGAAAATAACATCATCCACACAGAGGAATGTATAGATGAATGATGATAATTGCTTATTTTTATTCTTCTTGTGTGACCCTTACAAGACTTATATAAATCCTTATCAGAATAAAGTAACACAATAGCAAAAAGACCACAGTGTGTTCCAAAGGACTATGAACGTGATACACCCTACCTTTGTTTAGATTTCTTTTTAAACAAGTTTCGTAGGAGTAAAAGATTAGTTTCCAGTTGATCATTTAGTTTATCCTATTAGATACGTTTTGTTTTATAAAAGAAAAACATTTATTTACCGAAAAATCATCATTTGTTTTTAAAAATGTGATATTCATCGGTGATTTTCCATCAATGCATCTCGTTAACAAAAGAAAATATCGCTACACTGTTTTCTCGATTCGTATGATCTATAGACTGATAATCAATAGTACGACACTTCAAATATTTCAAAATGTTGTTTATATAATTGATAAATGAAAAAGGCGGTTTTCCGTGAACATTTTAATGCAAAACCATAATTTTGTACTTGATTTTACATATAGTATTTGGCACAACTAGAATTGATCCACAACCTTATTAAAAAGATAATTATCCGTATTAATATCATTGTATTAGACATATCATAGTCAATATAACGTATTTCACAAGAAAGTATGATTTGTAGTCACCAAAATCAAGTAGTCATCATTGATATGGTCATAGTTATTGATTAACTGTTTAAGACTTTGAATTATTCGAAATACTCAGGATTTTCTACCAAAGAAATAAATAACCAAAGCTGTATTTGGCAAAACATTTCGGAAATTCGGGTGTTCAATGCACACCACCTTCGTACTTCTTTTGACTTTGAACTTGTTGCGCCTTATGTAGACGAAAAAGCGCAACTCACGTTCAAAATTATAAGCCTTGTTTTTTTTTAATTTCGTTTCATCTCAACATTGTTTGCATTTTCCCTCAAATCTCCCAAAACATTATTTTTTTGTAAACGTCATACCTAAAACCATGATAGGAATAAAATACATTTACTTTCATTTAAAAATACTGAAATAACGCAGCAGGTTCAGATTTTTTATCCGTACATTTTGACAACATAGAAGTATTTGTACTTTTCTAAGTAAGTTGAAGTACCTTTAAAAAGGGTACGTTCTCATTTTTGTTTTGCAGCACTGACGATCTCATTTGTTTGATCCTTGTCGTCCTAAGTATTACAAAACTCTACTTATATTAAACAAAACTTATTTTATCTGTTTATATTTATTATAAAATTAAACAAATGATACAAATTCTATGCATAGTTGAAAATATTATAAATAAGAAAAATATATGTCTATTATGAAATTGTAAAACAAAACCACGCTGTAAGAATGAGAAGAAAACTAATTGTCTCTTTAGACATGTTAGAGGTATGACAACCATAACGATGTCAAATAGATTAATAAATTAGGTACTGGTGGTCAAAATCCACACAAGAGAACATGGAGAAGCTAAGAAGATATTCCGTATTGATCATGTTAATCAACGGGACGTAGTGGCCAATAACATGTGAACAATGACAAAGTGGAAATGAACAACCAATTATTTTGAAAATAGATGATATCTAAAAGTTTAAGAACCTGTTCCTCTACAACGGATTATTATCGCGATCAAAAATACTTCTACTTCAGGTGTGATTTAATTCAGTTTAATCGTTTTAAAGAACTTTCAGACAGATGTATGATGTCTTAAATACACATGGCTTCGATTTCAATATTTACTTTGCAATATTGTTTGCAGAACTTAATCATGTTACTACTATTCCAATCATGTGGCTCCGATTATTATTTAGTAATATACAAAAGTAATCATTACAAACAAAACATATAATAAAGGTATCTGAATATATATATATATACATGTATATATGATATGTTTGTACATTTACCGTATATAAAGTGTAAAAACAACATAAAAAAATAAGTGAAAACGGGAATATTTAATGTTTAATTGAACAAGCAATTAACTCACGGATAACATACGGTATATCGGGGGAGGGGTTGAGGGGGGGGGGGTTGCAATTTGATGACAATTTGGGTAATGTAAATTTTCACTGTGTATAATTAAGGGAAAATGAACGCAAACAAATCACTAGTGTATTGTTGAACAGCATAAACTTGATTGACTGACAGTTAATCAATTACAAATGCATACGAGTTCTACAAACTCAAATACACATAATCGAGAGATTTTTAAGTACATAATGTCGATTGCGGCATGCTGAACAAAATTGAAGGTTTTGATCATTTTTGTGATGGTATAACAAATTGTATTTAGGCAAATATCCTTGTAAATGTGATTTATTTTATTTTATTTTTACATTACAGTCGAACCTTGTTAAATCAAAGTCGAAGGGACCGGATGAAAGTATTCCAATTATTCGAGGTTCGACTATTCCGCGGTCGAGTGTGTCGTCATAAATTTAAAATTAATTATTTGAAGACAAATATAGCAAATTTACAATAATTGAATACAAAGCAGACGACCCTCATCAGAGATCTTTCAGAACTTGTTTCGTTCTGCGAGTGATTCCATAATTTAAAAAGACAGACCTTTGAAAATATTTTTGTTTTAATTTCAATCGTGAATATTTTGTATCTGTACTTGTGTGTTTAATTAATATGATGGACTGATAATAGGGAGTTTCAATCCACAAATACGAGTTATCATGTCGAAAAAAGGCCCACTGTTCAAAATATTTAGTTTTCACAAATATCATACCGAATTTCATTCATTCCAAATTTATGACGACACACTCGATCTCGGATGAGTCGAACTTCAGATGATTAGAATATTTTAGTCCGATCCCTTCGACTTCGACTTAACGAGTTTCGACTTTACTTTCAATAAATTATAGCACCAATTTATGACCACAACATGTATATTTATTCAATTCCTAGGAATTAAGATAGAAATAATTATTGTTCTGTGATAAATAATTCCTTTATATAAGAAATAATTTGTCAAGCCACTTTTTCAAAAATTGCAACAATCGTGTTTGAAATTTACATATTGTGATGAAAGTAGGAATTCAGCTTAGATTAGCTTACCTTTCAAAAGAAAAAAACAGTAATATAATCAGTTTTAGCTGTGCATTTTTCTATACACAGTTTAATATTAGGACAACATCGAATTAACGAAGGGATCAACATTGCTTTGACCATTAACATGATTAACTGCATAGTCTTTTTAATGCATACATAGCAAACGTTCCTAATCAGGCATTTAACCAAGTCCTCATCTCAAAGCCGAGATGCTATAAAAGTATAGCCAACCGGAACTATATACTATCTTAATTTGAAATATTAATTGATGGATCTTTATTTTTGATTTTTTTTTCTGGAGGGAGGTGGTATATACATACGTCTAAAAAGTATACAACAACACAACAATATGTACAAAAATACACAAATCACAGGCTTTTTCTGAATACATTTATCCTTCATTAATTCCCATTCCCCGATGTAAAATGGCGACTAATGCACCATGCGCTTGTATTGAATACACACATAAATATCTAATGCACCATGCGCTTATATTGAATACACACATAAATATCTATTTTAGACACCAAAACGTGTCAGTTTATATTATATTTAAGACATGACACTTTGGCTAGAATTTTCATTGATTATTAACGGGTTGGCCTTTTATGCTAAAAAATTACAACGTGCGATAGTGCCATGCTTATACAATTAACAATAACATACTGAGACAAATTAGGATGAAGTAAAATGATTATAAAACTGTAATTATTGTATATGTTTCGCTTTCAACAAGTATTTGTGTATTGAAACCCAAAAATAAATACTTTACGCCTACATCGATTTCATTGGCTGAGTCGAACCTCGGATAAGAAGAATACTTTCATGCAATCCCTTTGACTTCGACTCAACGAGGTTCGTTTGATAACCACACAGATGCGTAGATAATTTCGAAACGATGAGTTTGTTCTTGTCTATTTGTATACATGTGTAGGAAAACAACTGAAGAGACTAAATATTTGCACGCGTGTTTTTCAAACTGTTTTTTTTTTTATTATTGTTGTTGTTATACATTTTTTTCAAATAATGTATATATATAGTTGGTTGAACACTTTGGAATTACAGTTTCTGTTTGCTTTAAGTTAGCATTGTCGTCCTCCATCTAACACGCTGAACCACTGTATGCATGCAATGTGTTAGGTCTATAAAACAAATTAGGTCATCAGAAAATACATTATGAATTCAGAGATCAAAAGAAATATAAATGTTATATACAATTGTTTTTTTTTTTTAAATAATCTATGTCTTTATTGAAACTATTTAGCTTTTCATTAAATGCATTTATTTGCTTTCGTAGTACTAACGATTCGATAAAAACAGTAGAACAACCAAACTGCAACGGCTATTTCAAGTAGCCAAAGATTTTTCACAGATAAATTATCATATTATCAATGAGGCATTACTCATTTTATTATGAAAGAATGGTGAGGATTGTGATTTTGAATCTAATCAAAAAACATATGACGTTGGTAACCATAGTAACAGAATGTATTTCTCTAAACAATTAGTTCCTAAATACGATTTTGTAATTAATCCCCCATCCTTCCTTGATGTCCTCAACTATGAAGTGGTTGACAATTAAGATCTCTATCGAATTTCAAAATGGAAAAATAGCAAATTATGCCACTACATCTGTGTTTAACACATTTAAAATTTAACCTGAATTGAAATAAGTCCGTCATAAATATGTATTAACTTCATGCCATTATCCATAAATATATAAACATCGCACTTTATGTGGCCTTTTTGTTTATTTTTTTTTTTTTTCATTTCAAAACTATCTTTGACATTTTTGATAAAAAATATTTTCATAAAATATTCCCAAAATTACGTAGAAATGCAATATATCCCTCCGCGGCACATGTGATTATTTTATTGTGTATTATGTGGGCTATTATATGTCTTAACATGTATGGTACAATAAACAAAGTGATCGCGAAAATACTTGTTTTCCATGCATATAAAAGTATAAAATATACTTGAAAGTATTTAACAATCAATGTGGAATTACACACATCATAAATACCTGGCTTAAAATTGTGTACGCCAGACGCGCGTTTCCTCTACTCAAGACTCATCAGCGAAGCGAGAATTAAAAAACGAAGTTGAAAAGCATCGAGGACCCCAAATTCCGAAAGGTTTTGCTAAATACAGCTAAATTAAGGTAATCTATTCCTGGGGTCGAAAATCCTAAGTATCTCGAAATATTCAAAGGTTTGTAAACAGTTAATTTATAATTAAGACCGTATCGATAATAATTCATATCGACACCTGTGATTTATTATTATTGATTCAATTTCCAAATTGTTACCTTACAAAAATATATACACCAAGCTTTGTTGAATAATAGTATAATGTCGACTGTTTGGAAACTTTAAAGTCACTGTTTTGAATGCTTAAAATTACCACCGCCATTTAAACGTTCTTTAAACTTTTAAAGTGCATTTTATTACTTATACAATAAATGCTTGTTCTCTTTTAAATGTTTGATATCTAAACATTATTTCTTTCATAAACGTTGTTTAAGTTACTTACCCACATTTGTTACAATTCCTAATAAAAAAGAAGATTTATTTACAATGTACACATGACATAGAAAATATTGCATTAAACAATGTTTGAACAGAAATCACGATCTTTATGAAACTGATTTAAGGATACACACAGAAATTTGAATTATGAAACTGATTTAAGGACACACACAGATATTTGAATTATGAAACTGATTTAAGGACACACACAGAAATTTGATTTACATCTTCGTTAGCCGATTGTGTGTCGGTGAATTTCAATGAAACAGCTGCTTTCCATAATTCTGATTTATACAGAGGTCATGATACGATCTTTAACAATAGCAATATGTCTATATCCCATTCGATAATCAAGTTCTGCATCTTCAACACCCTATTCGGATATTGAATAGATTTGACAAATGGTACCAAAATAACTACCATTAACTCTACATTTCATAAAGGGGATATAGTTATATATAATTTAAGACATCCATTAACTGTGGTCCTATTCCCTGATATAAAAATGAAAATATGTTTAACACGACTTTAGTTTCCGAATCTTCTCCTTTAAAATGCCAATAGGTGGAGACTCAAACGGTACAGTAAGGTCATTTGAAAAATACCACTTTACTTTATAAATGTTGATGAAATCGATAGTATTGTCAAACATATACCCTATCTTCCTCCCTAAAAACAAACGTGAACAATTTACTATAACTACATAATACTGATTCGAAAACTCATCATATTTCCTGAAAACAAGTTCAAAATACTTAATCTTCTTAAAATATATCGATGTAAAATCATGTCATTCTTTAGTCTTATATATGCATATATTATTTACATTTATGACATCATATTTAATGCATGGATACACTATCCTGGACAATTTCAAAATAATTGTTTACAGAATTTAAATACATTCAATCAATCGTGTCTCATACACGTCTAATGGCTAATTGATACACATGCAAAACAGAGGACACAATATGAAACTTCAAAGATATAGTAATAGCTTATTACCAAAAACAAAAGACATATATTAAACAAGACTGATACATCTTAAGGACAATTATGATTATTGGTTCTTTAATGAAAATGTATAAATGGTATTACTACAAACAAAATAGATAAAAATGTTTCAATACTTGATAAATTTCTACGGATCCTATTAAACGTCAATACCATATAACAATGTTGAATTTGCAACCCTTGCATCATATTTTTATTTCTGCATCCCTAGTATGTCAGTGTTGTAGTAATGGCAACATTGCGTCACATGAAATCCAATACTTAACTGCAAACAAACTCATATTTAAACATATTCTCCGCACATCAAAGACGTAAACAATGACTGAGTTGTGACCATACTATGGTTATCGAATAATCACACCACATCTCCCTTTTCTACATGCTGTCTTCATTTATATTTTTCTCCATATATTCGAGTGTTTTAGATATAATAAAAATATATACTTACTGAATAAGTTCCCTGGAAAATATGTTACGACGATTAAGTTCCTTTTGTTCGTATTACAAAACGTAGAATAATAAAAACTATTTAGTGTTGTGCTTATATAGTTATTTCTTAGATATGCAACTGTTAGTAAAATTCTTTAGCAATGAGTTAAATACAAAAATGTCACTGAAAACGTTTTCTAAATATAATTATATATGCAGATTCAATTAAATAAATTAGTGTACAATTTAGGTTTTTTATCTAGTGTTTGACATCTCAACGGAAAAAAGATAATGATTAAGGAACAAAGACGAACTACGAGTCCAATTGAAAAAGAAAACAGAATTGTAATTGAAATTATTCAAAAGGTTTATAATAATTGTATCTACTTATTATTCTCAATGTTTGTTTGTTTGTACCTAAATATGTTATATGACAGTGTGAAAACTTACGGTTTCGGTGCTGTTCCCTGAGAAATTCTGAAAAAAGCAAAGGAATATAGGGTTATATAAGTCCTGAACAATCATATTTGTTAACGAACTATTGTTTTCGTTTAATAATGCTATTCAAATTCGTTTTTAATCTAGCCTGTCATTAGATCTGATTGCCAATGATCAGTCTTTTGTTGACGTTACAGCCCTTGGATGGTGTAAACTTTAGAAAAACGTGTATGGTGTAACGGTCTATGGCATATGTTGCAATGGTAGAAGGTGTATGGTGCTATGGTGTATGGTGTAAGGGGAATGGTATAATGGTGTAACGTGCGATCGGGAATGGTGTGAATGAATGGTGTACGACATTAAAAACTATGCAAAATATTGATAAGAACTGATTTTTAAATTTATACATTAATTTACAATATTGCGATCAAAATTCGTTTTTTAAAATAAATAAATAATTTTGTAGTCGCACGCTTTCTTTGAAATTAAATTGCATTGTGGTGTAATGTGTAAGGTGTATGGTGCAAAGGTGCAACGTGTTTGGTGTAATGGCACAGGGTGTATGGTGTAATGGTGTATGGTGAATGGTGTTATTTTGTATGGTGTTAGTGGGAAGTTTACACCACCCAAGGACTGTACTCGCGTCTGGAGTAACAAATTATAAGCTTTGTACTTTTAGGAGATTTTTCTATTAAAAATCTGTATAAACTTCAAATGTAGTATTTCCTCCGATCTATAATCAATATGTTTACCAGTGAGATTATACAGCTGAATGAAGATTGCAATAAAGTCAACACAGATTGAATACTTAGTCCCTATACATTCATGTATTATTAAAAAATGTACATGCTAATCAGTAAAAAAAAGATTAGCTTCTTTTACTATTTCATGTAAATTGAATTTGTAATATCATCTTCAGCATTACTGGCCTATATTTACACTTTCAAATTTATATTCACCTTTACGTCTATTTGTGTTATTGTCATAATTGTCGTTCTCTCTCACATGCCTTAATGTAAACTTCAATATCTGCGTTTGTGAATTAAACTATTTCTAAACAGCTACATATACAATATCTACAATATTAGATTTATGTTTAAATAAAGTTTTGCCTAATTCTTTTTTCTAGACTTTCTTTGTTACAATTCTATAAAAAGCACTTACCTTAAGTTAGTGATATTGCTGAAATAAAGTATCATAAATATAACTTCATCTCGTAGATAAGGTTGTTATTATAATTTCTTATGATTTCATGAAGTACAAAACCATTTTATTTCTAACCGTAACATTTTAAATTGCACCATTCATAACTCTTCGATTGGTTTTGTTTTAAGTGACGACAAACTACTCAAATATGGACCACAAATTGGTTATGATGATATTTGTTTAAATGCAAAAAAGAGAGGAGGAACGAATATGTTATATTAGGCTTGACTATGGTCCTTGTTTTTTGCTACAGTTTCAAATGAAAATGTAATGGCTATTATCATAAATTATTACAGCTAAACAATGATTAGAACCAAAAAAAAATAAATTTGATATCAGCATGCATTTAATAACGTTAAAAGTAGCATGAAATTAAATGTTCCGTCAAATTCAATAACAACTGATCAACTTTAATTCATTTAAGTACGGGATTACACAGTGTATAGGCATCGAAAAATATCTATCATATTTGTTCTAACAGAAAACCTATCTAATATTATATCTATTTTGTTGAATCCTATGCTCTATGCTTTCCTGTCCTTGGTGTGGTTGAAATTCTGAAGCAGTTCTTGACCCTTTTCACCAACACCTCTATCAATAGCCTATTTAGAGCTTAGATATTCACGCTTTATATGAAAAGCTCTTTAAAAATCGTCCTTTTACACATGTTTAATCAACTCGAAACCTTTTTCATCGTGAATTGATAAATTTAATATTGGAGATTTTTGTTTTTGTTTTACTTTTTTTGTGGGGGTGAGGATTACAGGGAGAGCGCGCAGATGTGATGAATACGTCATTTAACAATGTGAAACAAAATTTATAATAATAACTGTTATGGTCAAGAGAATTTGTGTAGTATTTTAAATTGGGAATAGTGTATTATTTTCTAAATCTAATTTCCATTATACATCGAAATCAAATTGCAAACAGATAAACATGTTGAGTAATTTTATTCACTCGGTCAACGTTAGGTCATATTAATCAAGATAATAATAGATGAAGAAAAATATAGAATAATGAGATGTAGTATGATTCCAATAAGACAACTCTCCACCAATATCCAAATAACTTAAATTTAAGCAACTATACAATCCACTAGTACAAAAATGCAGGTTGACATATTTATAATACATAAACACGTCGTATTTGATAGACATTCTACACATAAACTTTACAATATGTTTTCGACTGTGAGACGAGACTTGATTACAGATATGTTAAATGTCCGCGTTTCTATTCACGCAGTATAAAATAGCTAAAATTCAGCTTTTCGAACACACACAAACTTACCTACAGGAATTGCATGAATATCTGCATACGACCGGTCTGAAATTTAAATTAAGATATTTTTAAGTATATGTTAAAATGGAACTAAAATTCATTATTATTTCAACATGTTCATACATTGCTTAAAAAAACCTGTGTAATTTATCATCAATTATGAAGTTCTTTGAACAATTATAGAGTGAACTCATAAGTCACACATGAATATTTTAACAAACAAAATATTTTGTTCTCACATGACTGCTGTTAATCTGTTGTTTCATTTACTGAACTTGATTATTGCCTAACATATAACATATCTTAAAGGAATTTCAATACTCCAAGGTGGGGCCTTGGTGTCAGAGTGATCTAAGTAGTCGAACAACTGAAGGGGAAGTTAACACCAATAAATCAGGTAATCAATACTGCTAGTTTATGTTTGTTCAAAATGGATATATGCTTTATTTTTACATTGTAGGTGAATTCCAAAATCAATTAATCGCACTACTTACTTTCGATAATCTTCCATCTCCTCTTTATACGTTTTAATCGTCTTTTTGGCATCCATAATTTTTTGTTGGTAATCTTCTATCGCTTTCTGATTCTTATCTCGTGTCATTTCAGACATGGAAATTCTATTTATATATTGTTATACAAAGTGTTAATTGTTAACATAATATTATTCTATAAGATTTGCTTTGCATGTTCATATTTGGTTATGTGCGGCCTTTTCATGGCTGATTATACTGTTTTGGATTTGCTCATTTTATTGTTAATGTCAATACTGTAAACTGTAGCTGTTTGCATTGTCGTACTATTGTGTCTTGTCGATAGATATGCCATCTCCTTATGTTTTGATAAAAGTCATATAAAACAAGTTTCTGATGATCAAAATGTTAGTTAATAAATGCATTCATATATACTAAACTATTTCCCCTGTGCACATTTACGAAATCTATTACTAGTAACGTATAATCGACAATACATATTCATTCGGTGATTTTTTATCAAAAACTTTGGCGTCTAATTAACTTTCGGGTTTTATTAGAAAGTTGACTTTAAATGAGTTTAATAATTTTGTTTATGTCCTTTTTTGGTCATATGGATCCAAAAAAAATGGCAAAAGTAGTATACCGCTGTTCGAAAGTCATAAATCGATTGAGACAAAAAAACCAATCCGGGTTACAAACTAAAACCGAGGGAAACACATAAATTATAAGAGGAAAACAACGAAACAACAGAAACACTAAAGTGAACAAAAAACAAACGACAATGCAACACACACAGAAACGAACTATAAGATAACAACTGCCATTTTCCTGACTTGGTACAGGACATTTTAAGAAAAAAATGGTGGGTTGAACCTAGTTTTGTGGCTAGCCAAACCTCTCACTTTTATGGCAATGTTGAATATAACAGTAAAATGAAAGCATTACATTACAGGAATACAGTACAAATAAATGCAAGAACATTCAGGACAGAGAAATACACAAATAAACAATACAATAGTACATTTCGACATGCTAACCACAGAATAAAAACGACCACGTAAAACAACATAAGCCAGCACGCAAACAGCACAACAGAACCACGAACTGTCTTTCACACGACTGGGTAAACGCCACAAAAAAGACGTCACAGGTAAATTTCTAAAACAAAATTGATACTGTTCAAGATCAGGTTCGTAACTATGTCATTTGATGTATTCTAACGTGTCTGAGTATTTATATATACATTGCTTTCAAATGTTAGGATTTGAGCTATCTTAATAAAGGAAAATCCAGAAAAGCTCTAAGACGCAAAGAAAAAGGTTTTATTTTTATTCATTGGTTTTGGGGATTTTGCATTTGATTAGATTTTCGGCTTTGGTAATGAATTATTTCTATTTATATCAGTATATGTGTACTTCTGAATCACTTAATGACGTCAGCTTATGCTAATCTCGAAAGGCCAAAACAATAAGTTTTAATCATTAATTTTCCATTGTTAGATTTCAAGTATAGCCCAATGTGCATCTAATTAACACATGTATCTTTCCTGTTGCATTTAAAAGTGTTACTATCATCCATAATAAAATACCGATGATTTTGCACGTCTTGTAGTAAAATCCGTTTCTTACAGTCTACATCTCTGAAAAGTAAACCTTCAATTACTGAATCATCTATAACAAGGGTAATCTTTATTTTTTTTAATTTTCAATATTAGAAATAATTTTTTTGGAATCTTTAAATCAGATGTTCTAACATTGGGTGGATGCAATTGATGATTGACTAAAGGTTGACCAAGCTAACATTCATTCAATAGATTGCTGTTTTTCATTTGCTTTTTGGTATTTTCTAATTTGCTTCATTTATTAAATCTTTTGTTGATTTTCTTTAACCTTTCGAATGCAAAAACTGTGTCAGGAGCAGGTGGCATTAGATGGATGAATAAACTATTTTCTCATGATTTAAACCAATGAAAAAATCATCGATAACATTTGCATTCAAATTTTAAAGGAAAAATAGATTTTAATGGAATTTGCCACTTAAATAGTGTAGTAGCCTGATATCATGTAGATTGCTATATTGTTAAAATTTTATTTGTGTTGTCATATGTAAAACAAATACTATTGACCTGTCTCTTTCTGTTATTTTTCTTTTTTTTTTGTATTGTGTCGCTTTAATGTTTAGGTATATTATAGCGTCATTGCGTTGATTATCCTGACTCACAAGTCATTTTTATTTCTCTGTTTGTTTGTCATATGTGAAAAGGTATCCGTTAACCCTTCCTCGGCATCTGAAATCACCCCCGATTGGAATGTCTTTAATGTTGTTCAAACTTTAGTTTTCTCTATAGTGTTTTGTGGACTAGGTTCTCCATAAATCGTTTGTCTTTTCAAATGGCGTTGTCAGTTTATTTCGACTTACGAGTTTTGAATGTCCTCTAGGTATCACCCGCGTATTTACTATAAATGAATGATAATACATGTTGAGTAAAAGTCACTGAATAAATACCTTATAGTACTAAGTTCCTGTTTCAGTTCTTCAACTTCTTGTTCATATTTTTCTTTTATACTCAACAGTCTGAAAGTACATTGTCAACAGTAAATTGTGATTGAATTGTTTACTCCCAAATGCAATACATATAATCAATCAGCAATCTGCTTACATGAATTTAACCGTTCACTCCTTCTTCATAATGCGTCTGTCATCACAAAATTCTAGCACATGGTGTCAGTTTTAGTAAGAAAACAAAACTCATTCCGACGTATCATAAATTGACTGATTCAAGTAGTAATTTGCCTACTGTAACCAGTGAAATTGCTTTGCTTAGTACATGAATAAGATAAAAGGTTAGATGACGATTATAAAAAAATGTCATACTTCTTTTTTTGACTTGATTATTATGAGTATTTTTAATATTTGTTCGGATCTGACGGGAAAAAAGTACACGTAACAGAGACATTTAAGTGATTCATCAAAAGTCGAATTATGCTTGAACCTATTGTTGTATATTTTGAGATCTTGTACTTACTCCTTTAGGTCTTTTGTTTTCTTGTCCAATTCTTTCTTGTGTTGATTTTTTTCTGATATATTTGCATTGTCGTTTGTTCTAAAATCGATAAGAAATTGATTTCTTATTAAAATTTTAAAACACATTAACATAACTATTATACAATTTATTGCTTTTGACAATGATCTTTCAAAACAAAGGTCATTGTTTTAATACCAGCAGTGATCGTTGGAGTACATTTTCATCAACTATTCATATAGTGTATGTCTCCATCATTCTCTCAGTCACTTTGTAAATGTGGAGGATGCTCCATCAGTGCAAGTAGTCCTGGAGAGATGACCATTTATATTGCCATGAAATATGAGGATGCAACGTTGTATATTAATGATAGTTATTCATTTAGTAAAGCATTCACAATTTAGAATATGGTTTGTTGAGTTGTAAAGAAGTAACTATTCCTTCATGTTTTTACCTCAAACGAATTTTGTTATTTGTTTAATTTATGAACAACGCATCTAGATCTCCCGGGAAAAATCATCTATTTTCAATTCTTTTAATTCATTCTTTCTGTATCTTTTTTTTATTATTATTATTATGTAAATTTACAAATTTGTCAAATAATGCAGCAATTAATGGAATTACTTTTTCTCATATTCCAAAACTGTCAGCTGAGATATGTTCTTTTCCTTCTCTAGTGACTCTATATGTTCTTCCATTTGATTTCTCCTTTCTAGATCCTCTTTGTTTCTATTAAAGACAAATGTTTATATCTTTTTCTATTCTTAACCTTTATTTTCAATGCATGCAAATTGTTCGTATTGCGGTGTTAATCTATTTTGTCGATTGATGACAGCAAAACCAAGTTCAAACTTCATTTGATTCAGATTATCAGAATGATAAGCATTTATAACCATGCATGCAAAGATGGCATAGTGATTGCTACATACACAATAAGTAGAAAAATTATATTCAATTTTACTTTCTCGAACAATCAAATGTGTTTGGAAATATTTGTAAGTATATGTGATTGCAAAATTATTTATAGTTGAGTTACATATTTACCTAGCTTGCAATTCACTTATGTTCTGCTTGAGAGCATCATTTTCCTCGGATAATTCATCTTTTCTTCTTTGGTTCTCGTCCACTTCTTCTTGATTGATTAACCTAGAACAAACGATGTATTTTTCAAGTTTAACTTCTTATTGAATATCATAAATCATAGGCGAAAAGGCATAACTTATCACTAATGCATAATAAATTTAAGAATCGGAAGAAAAATAGATAGGTAAAGGTTAATGGAACATGGTTTATATTGGATTACTTCCCTTTCATCAGAACAAATATCAACTAATTAGAACTCATGTGTTGAATGAAACTTGTGCAATCGCAACATCGATTACACTAATATTATATATTTACATAGCTTTCAATTTGCTTATCTGCTGCTTGGAATCATTTTCTTCTATTAATTCATCTTGTCTTCTTTGGTTCTCTTCCACATCTTCTTGGTTGATTAGCCTAGAATAAAATAATGTTTTTTTTCCCAAGTTTATTTTTAATTTATCTAATTGAATGCCATATATAATTGGCGATGCCAGGAGAAAAGGCATAGCTTATCGATAATGCAGGCTTAACTGAAGTTAAGGACGTAAATTGCTTCAAATGCGAATATATTAAATACCTGAACACAATTTTTGAACTAAGATTCCTTCATATAGAGTTTAGGAACATTTGGCCCAGTTGTTTTTGAGGATATTTTTACGACAATGGGTGGTCAGTCGAACAATGGACGGACGAATGACGGACAGACCGATGAAGAACGGACGAGGGAGTAACGACGGACCACGTATGGACAGACAAACGTTGGAAGACGGATACCGACAACAGACAACAAGTAATGAAAATAGTTCACATGGACCTTTAGGCTAGGTGAGATAAACACGCACAAGAGATAGTACAAGATACACATTGAAATTGACATACAGTCGAATCTCGTTTTCTTGACATCAGCCGGACCAGAGAAATAATTCGAGATACCCATAGTTCGACTCAAACAAATACCGGATGTTTGACAGACCAAGGGACACAACTCATGCTAAGTATGGTAAGGCTAAAATAAATCAAAATGAATATGGGTAGGGAATCAATACTCTGGTCTGAGATCGATGTATCTGTATGCAATGGTCTTTTATCGTTATAATAAAATTATAGGGTTTTTCGTTTCTTATTTATTTCTATGTAGAGTTACGATTTTTACCTGTGGTTTAAGCCGACATGGTAATTTCTGATCGATCTAAGTGTGATTTTAAGTTAACAAAATTGTTCATTCTCGTATATAAGATATTTTTGAAAATCTAGATTTCATTTCATTTTTTTTTTTATCATGTTTATTTCAATCTTTTGATGCAAGAGAAAATAGAAAATGATGAGTAGTTTTTATTTGATCACTAAGTCTTCATCCCCACTTTATGCACAACCGAGCTCATTAGTGTATGATTACGGTTAATTGATTTTAAAACATTTAAATACTTTTTCACAAAACTTTAACAATGTATTACTAATTACTAATCATGGTGGTCAAATAAAATCTTAGGTAAACACTCGTGGGAAAAGAATGTCATAATCAATTCAATGGGCAATGATATGCAATAGTATTTCTTATCTGTTTTAATTTACAAGTTACGGATTCTGTCACTAAATTGAGTTATCCATTAAAAATATCATTTATTGATAAAAACAAATCAAAACATTATTGTTATAAAGATAGCATGCTTAAAAGTTTTTGTACGTTTAGTCATATCCTATGGAGATATATGAATGGAGATACGGATAGATATTCACTGATTGCTTACGTTGGTATATAGTAAAATCAGTTAGGAAGTGCGTCGCTGAAATAAAAAACAGTGTGAACACGATCTGTTTATCAGATTTAGTTGCTAACAATGACTTCGTGTCCTAATTAATCAGACGTTTTGCGTTTTTGTTTTTTTTTTTTCAAAAACTTTTTACTAAAAATGTTCATATCATACTCATTTACTGGTTGACGCAACACACGACAACAATTTGACCATTCATAATCCTCGATTTATGATTCAGAAGCATCTTCATTGGATACAAACGTTTTTTCCAAGGTGTTTCCCATCAAATTTTGTAAATATAACGGAAATATAAAAAAAGTAAAATTGCAATAATACCGAACTCCAAGGAAAATTCAAAACGGAAAGTCCTTTATCAAATGGCAAAATCAAAAGCTCAAACACATCAAACGAATGGAAAACAACTGTCATATTCCTGACTTGGTACAGGCATTTTCTCATGTAGAAAATGGTGGATTAAACTTAGCAATATAGCTAGTTAAACCTCTCACTTGTATGACAGTCGCATATAATTCCATTATATTGACAACAATGTGTGAGCAAAACAAACAGACATAATAGGTAACATTGTCAAAAATTAGGATACAGCAGTCAACATTTTGTAATAATCTTAATCACTATAAAAACAAATAATTATTTCAACAAAGAAAAACAAAATGGCATATAGACACTCTACAGACAAAGTATGTATGCAACAATGAAAAACAAAACTACAAGAAATGACCATAGCACAATAACACAATGGCGGGATGTGTAAATACCAATCCACGACAAAAGTATATTACCTAAAAATGGACTAAACATGCAGTAAAGGTTAAAAATATACAAGGATAAATAAAAAAAACTATACTACGTAATTGTTGCGGGTTATTTCTTTAAAAAATACAAGTCATAAAAAAGACATGCAATTATGTACTCGAAAATAATTTTCAACTTTGTCAATTACGTACCTCACTTCGAACTTTGCACATATCACGTGCAAGATGTCTTCAAGGAAACTTTCCGAATCAAATCCTGGCACAGTTGGAACAACGATATCTTGTAGTATTTTGTCGTCGAACTCTTCATTTTCTTTCCGTAAATTATAATATGACATATACAATCCAACGGCATGGTCCTCTGCTAGCATGTTATCAACGTTATTGCAAATTGTGTGATACTCTGTAAGGACATTTTCTTTTCGCTTCAATTCATCTTCAATATCCACATAGTGTCGTTTCTTAAAATCTGCAAACTCTGTTGTTTGTATATCCCTTTTGGCTTCTACAACTTCTTGGATAGATCTTGATGTTGAGTCAATATCCCTGTTGATCGTTTGTAAATCGTCTTCAAATTTTGTCAATTTCTCTGATTTTATTCTCTCAAGTACTTCGGATAATTGTTCTATTCTCTCTTTCATTAAAGATACATCTCCACCTGCAGATTCTTGTAATTTTTCGACAATTTTTTCGATACGGGAAACGCTATGGCCATTATGATCATCCGCAATACACCCAATGCAAATTAACAATTCGCATTGATTGCAGAAAAGCTTATACGGCTGATGATGTGTGCTGCACTGAGAATTACAGCTAATATTGAAAGCAGCTCCATCAATGGTTTCGATGTCTACCACTGAATGACACTCTAACAGTATATCGTGTTTATCTCGGCATGGTTCACACAGCGCAGACGGACATTCTTTGCAGAAAAACTCTCCGATGTTCCCACATAACTTGCATTTATTTGATGACTTCTGGTCAGCATGTGCCATATTTTGTTTGATAATTCCTCTATAATAAGTAAACTATATGAATGATTGTTGCTTGCTTAACGTCCAGTATTAATAGTTTCATATATATTCTTTAATTCAAGACGATTAAACATTAAATGATAAATCTATGAATAAACAGTATCGGTCGCATCCAAAACGCGATTTGGTTAAAACGATAATATCCTATTCGTTTTATACCACCAAGTGGAGAATTCTTGGAATATACTTTGTGTTATAAACATAATATTTCAGAGGAGAATTCCTGGAATAGCATAATTTCTTCGAGGAGAAAGAATTGAATTAGGTTAATACAAAGATTGTTTATATCCATTATATACATAGTGGTGAATTGTTGAAATTATCTAAATGTTTTCTATATGTATGATGTATCGAGAAGATTATTTTTGGAATTAACGTATTTCTTGGAAGAAAAGGGATTGCTAGTGCTTTGTTATCTGTAATTGAAAAAGCGTTCTGTAAAGTATTTCAAATATGTTGAAAACATTAATTAGACCGGTTGTGTTTGACATGCATATATCTATATTTCTTTTGTTAGCCTTATATATATTTCTTTTGTTACCCTTTAATATCGATTTTTCAGCATGATCTATAGTACATTTAAACACTTAAACATATATGTAATATCAAACAAAGTTCAACTTCAAAGGTTTAAATGAAACTAAATTGATATGCATTATTTGCATTTTTATTGCATTTTCAATGTAAAGAAATTCGATAAAACATTAAAAAATGTTAAAAGCATTCATGCATGCACCTTTACATCTTGTTTTCATATGAAAATGTTTACACACATTAGAAACAATTCTAAAAAGGTTATGAATATAGGGATTTTTTGTTGTTATGAAACCAGTAGTGTATGCGGTTGAACTCCATTGTTTTATAGCAGTATTGAGCATCTGTGGTATTTTTTCAATGAATAGGAATAAGAAACATACCACGCGTTTGATATCATGTCCAGGTCTTAATCTTTAATTTTGCTTTATGTATTCTACTGTCATAACTATAACGACTGGAAATCGACTAGCCAGACGATTGAAAACATCGACTTGTGGTTCAAAGGATATAACGTGTTTTAGCTGTAAGATGATTTGATCAAATAATCCTACGTCATATATAGGGTAAAATGTTTTCAATGAAAGAAAAATTGTATGATTTTATTATTCGTATCTTCAGCGAAAATAAACCGGAATCTGAATTTGATTGTCTGATTCTTTTAAGGACAACAATCAATTAGATTTGCAAATTCAAATCAAGATAAAAATGTGATTCACGGTACATGCTTGTTAGCTGGAATGCTTTACGTATAGAACCACAAATCTAATTCGGTCCAGTCGTAATGAACATACAAGAAAATCGCAGATATTTTGAACAAAATAGTTCTTGCGCATACCTGGTAATAATAAATATAGTCTTATTTTGGTCACTATTATCATCCATATGCAGTTTTCATGATATAATGCATATGTTACTACCAATCAAGTTTGAACTTGAATTCAGTGAAATAATGTTTGGACAAAAGCTTTATGTGTTTTTCTTTGTTAGAATATCGCAT